ATGTTGAAGTATTTAAAATAAGAAAGAAGATGATTTATACATTGCTATATCAATTTTAAGGATTATTAGAAATGCCAGTTTTATTTTATGGATTAGTTACCTTAACATGAAGGTAATTACTTGCTTTGATATGGTTTTGGTTCTTTCCTCTGAGGTGGGTTTCTTTCCTATCAAGGCACACATTATGCTGCAGTAACTGAATCCTCTATAATGGTATGAACAAAGTGCTAAGGAAATCTAGGGAAAGGAGCCTATAGAGATTCTTTAAAGAGGAAGTGACATTTAAACTGGCCCTTGGAGGGTTAGTAAAAATTTACTTGGCAAAGAAAGGAGAGTACAGAGTAATCTCAAGAAATAGAGAATATTCTGTTGTTGATAAATCACATTTATATGTTTTCTAGGAAAGTTAGAAATAATAAACATTTTAGGAATGTGTCATTTAAATGTATAGTTTAATCATATATATTAAAAGAAGTTATAGCTTAAAATGGTTCTTATCACCAGTAGTTTCAGGATGAGTAAATTATTCATAAAACAGTTCCATTGCAGGGTTCTGGGACTTTCAGAGAAGGAAAACATAGGACTGAGCAATCTCCCTTCAACGAAGGTAAAGAAAGAGAAAGAGGTGGTTCCTTCTAATTCTTAGAGAGCTGAGATAAAACACTATAGGTTTTTGAAAGATCAAATAAAAAGAGACAGACTGTAACTTTCCAAGAGCAGAAAGGGCAAAGAGTAAAGCAACACCTCTCTTTTAGAAAGGAATAAGTTTAAAATTCCATGAATAATTATTGACATAATGAAAAATAAAATCCTTTAAGATCAAATGACATTCATTCTAAAATATATTATGCTTCTAAATGATGTGATCTTTTCTATAAAAGACTGCTTGGAAGAAATGAGCTGGACACTTGGGTTGTATTTCTATTAAAGGTTTTTTTTTTTCCATTCACATAATCACCAAATTTTGATTTTCTGGCTTTGTATATATTTTTATTCCTTCCACTTTAGATTACACCATTCATTGTAGGCAGATAACTGAAACACATAAAAGTGAGAATTTATGCCTAAAAATGTAGTTTCCATATGTCAGAGTACTAGCTATACCACTCAGTTTATCTTGTGTTATATTTGGAAAAAAATACTTAAAAGCAAAGCCTTTATAACATCTTCCTGTGTTGACAGATAGTAACAGCACTAGTTGGGGTGAGGATTTAATAATGTGGGTAACTGTGGAATCACTGTATTGTAAACTTGAAACCAATATAAGATTGTGTATCAATATGCTCCAATAGAAATAAATAAATAAATAAATAAGCAAAGCCTTGATTTTCATCATAACATTGTATGTTCTATCAAATAGGGATGATGTAATATGACTTCTGAGGGAAGGCACCAGATTAAAATATTATTTTCTTTCAGTTGTCATTGATACTTGCCATTTGGTGAATAAAACATTCTATTTCTTTCAGATTAGTGGAGTGATGTGGAAACAATTTTTCCAGAAAATTGTTTCTCCTATTAATTACAAGTCTGAGAAGCTTGGAAAATCCTAAGCAAAGGGCAATGATCTTTATCTGCTTTGTTCACTGATATAATCAGCCACCTAGAAGAGTGCCTTTGTAGGTGTTTAATAAATACTTGTTGAATGAGTAAGTCCCTACCATACCTTTTAATCGATACATGCAGCTTTTTTATTCTCCCTGTTGACCTTTGATCTGAAAAAGAGCATCATTGTTTGATGGAGTATTTTTACCTTTAACTAGCTTTTCCTTTTTCTCTGGAAAGCATGATTATCAGTAAGTTTCTCCTGCTCTTCGATAAAGGTGGTTTGTGCCTTAGGAGCACATGCTTATATCCCTCCCCTGACACACTTCAAATATTTACTGCTATTTATAATAATCTAGTCTTTATATTTAAGGATAATGCTAGAAATAACACAGAATCATGAGTTTTCTTTTTGTTTTTGTTTTTGTGTTTCTATGGGGCCTTTAGAGATCATCTATTCTAATTCTGCATTTTAAGGTTGAGGGGAAAAAAGCCCTGAAAACTTATTAGCTCAGGGCCGCTCTGCTAATTAACAGTGGTACAATAATTAGAATCCAGACCTTTGACTTCCAGTCAAATATTTTTACCATACACATTATAAATAACTTTTTCAAGGGGAAGGCTTTTTCCAGTTAAAACATTGGTTCACCATTATGACACCATCAGGCAAATACTTTGATGCCCAAACTATTAAAAATAACTTCCCCAAATGTAAAAGAATAAGCACATTTTCATAGCTTAAGGATTCCTTTGAAGAACCTGTCCTTCCCAGGTTATTAATACAGAAAGTACAGACATGGCTATTAATAAATGTACTCTATATTATCAGTGGGTAATCTCTTAGATTAGTACTTTTCTGTAAAATAATTTAAATTGACTTTAATATCTTAAATTATAATTGGAAGGAAAATTGACTTCTGAATAGGGAAGTATTAATATTAGTAGAATATTCTCAGTTGCTAGTATGCAAACTCTTGGATTCCCTTGCTGTGTCGGAACCTGTACAAGCAGGTCCTTGAGGACCTAGGTGATGGATTTAACTAGATGCCTTATGGTAAGGGTCAAGCTGAGTATTAAGAGTTTATGTTATAACTGCACTAATTTGATAGTAAAAATCCTTTCCCTATAGCAATCTTTGTATTTTAGGTAAAAGTAGTAAATTTTTATCTAAATGAAGTAGATTTTTGTCATTATTTGCTTTAGTTGTATAAGTACAAATTAGAATTTACAAGTAATTTTCTTTTTGCCAAACGAACATAAATTTGAACTTCTTGGAATAGGGCATACAAGAGGAAATAAAGTATCCAAAGAGAGAATCTTTCTCTCCCAGTCCTATTCTGCAGGACTTGCAGGTTCCCAGCTACCTCATGCACTACCAGTTCTCCGTAGTCCCTTGATGGGACCTCATAGTCAGATAGGAGAGTGTGACATACCATTAAAATACATTCATTTATTCTCAAGCCCATTGATTAGAAATAAAATTACTCTTATCAAATAATCCATTAAATTAACACTGTAACATCATTTACATTCAGAGAAACATGCACATCTCCAATACTCTATCTCAAGCATAGTACATCTCATTGTTTATCTCAGCTTGTGGTATTTAGTAATATTTTTAATGTAATGTCTACCTTGTATTCTATTTCTAGGTGAATTTTTTATAGACAGGAATCATTAGTAACCTATTTTTATTTCTCCAGACAGGAATTATTAGTAACCCATTTTTATTTCTCCATGTTTCAAAAATTAAATTAATATTATACTGTGGATTAGTGAATATGTCATAAAACATCACTTTGTGAAAGAAGACAGCCATTCCAAAATCAATGACACAGTGTTTAATTATTATGTTTTTTAAATGAGTCCATAATGTAAAAGGCAATTTCATAAATGAAATCAGGTGATTAGGAAAGTAGCAGAGAAAATAGGAATATTGGGATAAGCGTCTAGTTGGCAGTACACTAATTAATTAATCCAATTTAGAGTTTCAGAAATGATGAGAGACAATTTTGATCAGATATGTGTAAACTAAAACATTTTTAAACGTTAAAAATTGGAAATTCCATTTGAGGTGACATTATGTGAATCCATTTAAAATTATCTTCTGATTAACATATAAGATTAACATACAAGAACATGTAATGATATGACTAACATATAAGAACACAGTGAGCAAAAAGCCAAATTGCTTGCTTAATTCTAAAGTTTCTCTGTTTGTCAGACCCTCCAAAAATACTATTTAAAAATCCTATACAGCATAAATATGTTAGGATTTTACTTTTCAGATATTACTTTTAAAGTGGCCCTGAAAAATATGTGTAGCCATGAACTGCAGGCCTAGTTTCTAAAAATGTTTGCAGAAAATGCATTATAAATGTGGAATTTAATTATGTAATGCACTACATATTTGACTTGTTCAAGCCTTTGTTCAATTCTTAATTCACATTAGTTCATTCTTAATATTTTACTTCATAATATTCAATGCTTTAGAGTTGATAATTTGCGTATATTACATGTAAGAAACAATCTTCCATTTAAGTAAGTTACATAGTGTGATATAATTAAATGGCATTATATTATTTTTCTATAAAAATGGAATTTTGAATAATTAGGTATAAACTGAAAAATTTGATGCCCAAATCTAAGCGATCAGAAATATTTTCCTTCCACTCAACATTGGGCAATCACTAAAAGATTCTCTTAGGACGTTTTTCAGACAATTTTTGGACTGACAAGGCCGCCACCCCTTAGCAGCTTCTGAGTCATCTCACAAGATAAATTGACTTCAGTTTTAAGACTACGATCATTTTTTTCTTTTGTTTTTTTTTTTAACACCCTGCAATCTGTTTGGCTCAAAATATACAAAGGAATTTCAACTTTCAAATTTATAATCAATTTTGAATTATAACAAAACCCTTCATAAAGGAAAACCAAATCTCCTCTAACCACGGATGACCCTTAGAAAAGAAATTTCTGTATCATTTTAAACAGAGCTACAAAAGAAAAGGTGAAGAAACTTGGCAACTTTAAGATTATTAGGGAAAACTGATAACCAAACTGGATAATTCAGAATCTAGTTTGTATAATGTTATAGCCAATAGTCTTTCCTGAGATTCAATTGCCTAAATTTCTTACTCTTATTTTTGCCAATTAGACATCATTATCTTAATAATAATTAATGTTTAAAAAAATTTTTGCTATAGTTACTTTAGTTATCTTTGACATTTTTACATTTTTTTGTAAAACTTTATGGGTATTCTACAAAGTAAAAAATAGGATGGTAATTCTTCTCTAAAGTTTTTATTTTACTGAGGACAACCACATAGGGACATAAATTGATTTATGTTTTGTATAATTCTAAAATTCTTTGAAGCAGTTTATTTTCAGACCTGTATTTTTACATTGTGCTGTTTCTTTGTTTTGTTTTCTTTTTGTTTGTTTTACTTCAATAGCCTTTTATGTCACCTCGGTACCCTGGAGGTCCAAGGCCCCCACTGAGGATACCTAACCAGGTAAGATTTATGTGCTACTTAAGTTTACTTGTTTTTTTGTTTTTGTTTTTGTTTTTTAAGAATCAGTAAAGATCTTGAAAATGTCACAAATATTCCTTATCTGTAGAAATGTTAAATTATCCTTTCTCTGTCCCCACTTAGTGCTACTTCTAGTAACACATAATCTACTTCAAGGGTTGGCAGACTACAACCCATAGATTGGCTGACTGTTACAGGAAATAAAGTTTTCTTGGAACCCAGCCACACTCATTCATTTATGTACACCACAGTAGCAGATTTGAGTGGTTATGTTGGAGACCATATGTGGCCTGCAAATCTCAGAACTTTTTACTATTTGGATCTTTACAGAAAAAAAGTTTGCTGACTCTTGGAGTCTGCCATAAACTTTGGACCTAATTTTTTTAATATATATAAATTTTTTGGTAAATACTGATCATTTAAAGGATGGCAATAAAATTTTCTATGAACATATTTTGGTTTTCTTTTTATATTATATAGTTCCAATACTGTGGCTATAACATTCATATCCATTTTGCCCAATTATAATGGAATGTAATTAGCTGCTTCTAGAAGTTTTAGATCTGTTAATAAATCATTAACAATACATCTTCCAACTTTTTTTTACCTTCAGGAGCTCTTAAGTTCTCATGAATTTTTATCCTCAAGTCATTTTTTATCAATGTCATAAATATTTATTTGCTGAAGAAAATAAAGTACAATTTTTACTTGCAAGGGGTTTAGTTTAGGTTTAGGATACAGACAGTGTGCATGTATAGAAGAAATTAACTGCTTAAATTTACAGAATATTAATGTCAAGATAATTATTCTGTCACTTTCTAAAATTCCGTTATTTAGTGGGTATATTCTGAGGTCTAAAGTAAACCCTCTTACCACAGTAAATTATCTTTTCATTCTTATTCTTTTTCTGTTCCCACTACCTCCCCAGTCAAAAACGGAACTAGAAGCTGTATTACTAACACATTTGGTAGCAACAGGGTGCTGCTTCTCCTGCCCTAACGCTTACTGAAATTGGGCAGTGTCCTTGAGTTGTTCCAGTTTGCTAGTGTTCTCTCCTAGTAAGCAGCAAGAAGCCCGGGCACCCATGTTCACCCCCCGGGAGAACAGTAGGCAGGCAGCACTGCGGGCTCAGCTCCCAATTACACTGCTGGGAGGCCAGCACGGACTCAGCTCTCAGTTACGGTGCTGAGAGGCTAAAACGCTGGCTCAGCTTGCGGTTAATAGTGCTAGGAGGCCAGTGCAGGCTCAGCTCGCGGTTACACCACTGGGAGGCCAGTGCAGGCTCAGCTCCCGGTTACAGCGCTGGGAGGCCAGTGCAGGCTCAGCTCACGCCTACACCGCTGGGAAGCCAGTGCGGGCCCAGCTCCTGATTACACCACTGGGAGGCCTCACATTCGCAGCTGGAGTTTTCTCCTTCAGACTGAATCTGCATTCAGTGCATATAACCAAGGAGATGGCAGGAAATGGGACAGAGAAGTGCAAAGATGCCAAATGTCCCAGAGTATGGGAATCTTATTTTCTCTGTGGGTGGACCTGTATATATCGAGAATCAGATCTACTTACATAGGTGCCTGGGTCTTTTAAATTTTAAGTACAGAAACTTGCATCTTTCAGTGGAGTCTGCACGGTTTGGACATCCCATCCATAACTTTGCATATTTCATAGATCTGAGAGATTCCTGAAAACTCTGAATTAGGGAAATGTGAATGTCGTGTACAAGTGTGTTGTTAGAATATTTTTGACTCCATGTCAATGATGTCAATGATGAAAATCTGATGGAATTATTAGAATTGTATCCATGTGACATTGTTGAAATACCTGGTAAGTGTAACATGCTGTGCTAGGTTCCATATCTATAAAGACTAGCAAAATGAAAGACATACTTTTTAGAAGAGGAATGGGTTAGAGAAGGAGGGTGGATATGGTATTATAAATCTAGATTGTTTGAAATCATTTTCAGTAATAAATACATAATAATCTTTTTAAAAGAAACAATACAAAATTTAAGGTAGTAAAGAGTTGTGATACAGGGTCTTTTTCCTCAAGTATTTTAAGCAGTCTCACCTAAGGATATGTTAAAACAACTTTCTCTGAGTGGCTCTTTTTTGTGATCCCTCCCCCACATATATAGTTAAACTTCATTAATTCAGACATCTGTTTTTCAAACATAATAATTTATACTATTTTTCAAAAGAATTTTCTGAGCAAATTATTTATAGTGTAAACAGTGTTTTAGGAAATGTTTAACTTAGCATGACCTTTTCAAGCAACAAAATGGTATTTCATTTTAATTATGTAAAGTAGAATTGGCAAAAGTATTTTTGGTGATTAACTGCAATGATGTATGTGAAAACACAAATATGTTAAATATTTTTGGTGTAGTTGTAATTTAAAATGATCACAAACTAATGAAATTTTGTTTTATTGGTAGACTGTACCTAAGAAAATCAAAAGTGAAATATTAACCTCTCCAATGTGTTGACTATTTTGACTATGTAAAAGACATTCCCTTAATAAACAGAACCTTCAGAATTTATAATTACTAGTGATTAAACTATAAATTTTAATTTAAGTTCTCTTGAGATGGTTTTCATCACTCTGGACTAAATCCACAATGGCTTACACTATTACATATTTATAGGACCGGGGTATTGGCACATGGTATATCTTTATACCAAAAAAATACAGGAAGGGGTAATAGTCTCTAAAATGATAAAAGGAAAATAAAATTACAAAGATATGCAATATGGCAAAGAGGAAATACATATAAGAGAACTTATGAAGCAGTTAAGGACATATGGAGAAATCAAGTCCAAAAAATATACTTGTCTCTGCAATTTTAAACTGAAATTGCCTCAACTGTCAGAATAGCTCATTACTGTTGAAGTATCCATAACTTGGAGTAA